CTATGTCTCTCTCTGGCTTTCTGTCGAGTGCACGCGCCCTATAGCATAAACCTTTCAAAAAAAAAGAATAAAAAATAAAAAATTATTTTAAAGTAAATAAGTAAATAAAAATAATTAATTCTAGAAAAAATAGAATTAAAAATAATTTTTTTAGGAATCAGCAGATGGCATAATGGTTATGGCACTGGACTCCCATGTAGTCGACCGTGGTTCAAGTGCTGGACCCAGCTGCTTGAAACTCACACCAGGTGCATGTGCATGCACACCCCAAATCCAAAGAGGAGGATAGAGAAGAGACTGTGGTATGGCCACACCCCCTGGAGGGTGACTTCTCTCTGTCTCTCCAGTGAGCACAACACATGCCGTAAAGCAAAAAATCTCTCTTAAAAATTTTTCTATTATTTATTTATTTCTTTATTTTTTAGTTTGCTATAGAGCACGGGAGATGACCTTGCTGTGCTCTTCTCCATTTGTCCTTAATTTTTTCTTTCCTGGAGAGGTTTTCACTGTAGGGCACGTGCACTAACTAGAAAGACAGAGAGAGACGGAGAGACAGAAAGCGAGAAATCACCCCCCAGGGGGGATGGCCACGCTGCAATCCCTTCTCCTTCATTCTCCTCTCAGGATCTTGGGCACGCACGCACATGTGCCCGGCGTGAGCTTAATCCACCAGGTCTGGGACTCAAGCTGCGGTCGACTACATGGGAGTCCAGTGACGTAGCCATTACGCCAACTGCTGGTTACTCTATTTTTATGTTTGTTTGTTTGTTTGTTTTTTGAAAGAATTACTTAATTTTGGGACCAGCAGACTAGACTCCCAGGTAGTCGACTGACCATGGTTCAAGTACTGGAACCAGTGGCTTAAACTCATGCCAGGCACATGTGCGTGCGTACCTAAGATGCCGAGAGGAGAGAGGAGAATGGAGGAGAAGGAACTGCGGTGTGGCCATTCCCCCTGGGGGTGATTTCTCGCTTTCTCTCTGGCTATCGCGTCTGCCCTATAGCAAAAATCTCTCCAAAAAAAGAATTATTTAACTTTATTTATTTATTTATCTTCAATTCAACCAGAGAGGGACAGAGCAAGTTAGAGAGAGAAAGTGAAAATTCAAGCTGCCATGTCCAGGACTCAAATCTTGGTCGGCTATGTGGGAGTCCAGCGCCCTTAACCACTACGACACCTGCCAGCCCCTCCATTTCTCCTCTTGGAATCTTGGGCATGCACATGTACCTGGCAAGTGTTTTAAGACACCAAGTCTGCAACTTCAACCACAGAGTCAGCCACCTTAAACACTATGCCACCTAGTTGACCCCCAATTTTTTTTTAATTTGCCAGGAGGCCTATACATGAGAGAGCAAGAATGAAAGAAAGAGAAAAATGCCCCCAAAAATGCATGGTCACACTGCAGCCCATTTCCATCCGTCCATCCCAGCAGGGTCAGAGGCACACAGACACATGCATGCAACATGTTTCTCAAGTCACCAGGGCCATGATCTTAACTGTGCTTGGCCATGTGGATCTGGCACCGTATGTGCTTAATTGCTGGCCATGGTGCCTTCCTTCAGAATTAAAAAAATAACAAAGAAAAGCAAGCAGGTGGACCAGTGAGCTACTCCCTCTCCGGGGAGCTCCATTGCCAGAAGGACCAAGGGCCACCACAGGGACTGCTTGGACTCGCCTGGCCCACAGGAAGTGACCCACTCAAGGCAAGGGACTGTTCCCTAGCACCCATCTTGGGAAGACAAAGGGCATGGAACAGACCGCGGCAGCCCAACAGGCAGAGCAAGAGGCCCATGGCTGCCAGGACTTGAACCACACAGTCGGCCATAAGGGATACAGAGCCCTTAACCACTGGGCCACGAGATGGCCCTGAGCTATTGTCTTCTAAGCCTGCCCAGCACTCCTTCCCACTCACCCCTTCAAGCGCAGTTAGCTCCTTACAACAAAGAACTGGTTTCTAAGTCCCCATCCCTTGCCGTAATCTCCCACACTCCTTGGGCCCCTGTGGCCCGGTATGCACCTGTGTTCTCCATCTCTGTCACTATCAACCCGGCTCACCCAAGGCCAGCTTACCTTGTCTGTGTCCCCTCGTCCCTCGGAGCTGCTGCTGCCCTCTCTCTTATCAGACACAGCAGCTAGCCCAGTGGGGGTCGGAGGGGTGGAGCCACAGCCTCCGAGGGGGAGGCTGCCAGGAAGCAGGTAGCTGGAGGGACCAGGGGGCAGACCCAGAGAAGTGGGCACAGGAGCTGGGGTCACCCCAAGACTTGAGGGTGGCTTCCTGTGACTGAGGATCTGTGGGAAGATGATGAAGGGGTGATGAGCAGAGAAGAGGAACTGTGAACCCCTTACTCCCTCCCCGGCGTCCTAACAGTACGGGCAGTAGCCCCTCTTCTGACCAGGACTGCTGGGACTCGTGCTGTGGCTCCTCTCCTGACCTAAGACGTGGACAGAGGGCCTGCCGGACTCCTCCCCAGGACCCACCTGGTTGGTGGCCTGGATTAGCTCCTGGGCCTTTGCTCGGCTCGCCAGATTGGCTTCTTCCATCTTGAAGAGAAGTGCAGTCACTGCAGGAGGCAGAAAGGTGACCACGGAGATCGGGAGGAGGTGACAGGAGAGGACCTGGTGAAGCTCACCTTGCCACCTGCCATCATCTCCCATCCCAGGCCCTAGGCTGGCCATAATGCCTCACACCCAGTACCGAGAAAAGGACATCTTAGCCACCGAGCCACCGCACCCCCCAGATGTTCTTGGGCCTCAAGGTGTTTGTACTAGGGGCGGGGGTGTGTGTGGCAGGTCACTTGAGTGACAAGATGGTGGCAGGCATGAGACTTTGTCTCCTAACCCCAAGCAGCTGTCTCAGCCACTCCCCACCCTGGGTCTTGCAGAGGCTACTGTCATCTCCTAGGGGACACGGTGCCCCGCTCGGCCCACCCTCTCTGGTCTTTCTCTCCTAATCCAGGGCTAGGCACGCCCCAGAACCCACCCCGCTCCTGCGGGCTCTGCTGGCTGCCACCCACCCACCTACCCTGCCGGGTCCTGGGACAGCCAGCCTTCTGGCCAGAGCCTGCTGGCCTTTACCACCCTCAGTCCACCCGGGCCAAGTCCTGGCACACCTCCCCCTCCAGAGCCTCCAAGGCTGTGCCCATCAGGCCCATCCTCCCATCCTTTCTCCACTGCCCACGACCCTGAACACTCACAGGCCAGGACACCACTGGTGGTGCAGTCCACACCAGCTGGCAGGTTCCAGGGCATGGGTGGGGGCAGCGTGGGCAGCTGGGACACACGGGGCACCGGCCCATCCTCCGCCCCGGAGTCGCCAGCTGTGGAGCCCGCGCTGGGGGCAGTGCTTGGGGCTGCCGCTGCTGTGCTGGTGGCCGTGGTGGTGGCAGGCTGCTGCTCTTCTTCCTCCTCCTCCTCCTCTTCCTCCTCCTCCTCCTCTTCCTCTGCCCCACCTCGAACCCCGGCCTCCTCAGTGGCCTCCTCCGGCAGGAAGGAGACCTCAGGCGTCTTGCAGCTGCTGTCCACAGTCTGGGAGTCCGGGGTGAGCGCAGGCGGTGGAGGGGCCGCCTTGGGGGGCGGCGTGCTGGGCGCCTTGGCCGCTCGCTCTTCCCCGGACCAGGAGGTCTCCTCCGCCACCTTGGCGCCCGCCGCCTGGCTGCAGCTGTCCGCCTTGGACTTCTTCAGCGAGACGGCCCCGCCGCTGCTGCCGCGGACCTTCTTCCTGGTCTTCGACGGCTTGGTCTTGGCCTTGGTCCCCTTGGCTTTCTTGGCCCCAGCCTTGGCCTTGACCTTGGTCTTTTTGGGCTTGGTGCTGCCCGGAGCTGCTTTGGCCACCTCGGCGGGGACGCGCTCATCCGGCTTGAGGAAGGGCGAGCGGCTCTCGCGGTCGCGGCTGAACTTGACGCCGATGGAGCCCAGGCCGGCAGAGGCGGCGTCCTTGGCCGGGGTGGTGCTGCTGACGCCCTCGCGGATTAGCCCCGCCACCTTGGACTGCAGCTTCACCTTGCGGGACGAGCAGGACGAGGAGGAAGAGGACGAGCCCGAGCCGCTGCTGACCGGTGGCTTTGGCGGGGGCCCTGAGGAAGGCGCCGACTCCTTGGGAAGCCGGGCCTTCTTGGATGACCTGTCCCTGTCCCTGTCTCTGTCCCGGTCCCGGTCCCCCCCGTCCAGAGCCTTCCTGCGCGACCCCTTCTCCCGAGAGGACGACGACGAGGAGGCAGCCCCGGAGCGCCGGCGGTCCTTCTCGCTGCCCTTGCCGCCCCGCTCCTCACCGCTCAGTCCCTCCGAGTCGTACAGGACCTCGCGCTTGGGCGACGAGGCCGGGCCCGGGGACGGCCCGCGCGGGTCGGCCTTGTCCAGCCGGCCCACCGTGATGGTCCGCTTGATGGCGACCA